GGGGGGGAGAAAAGGGGAGGGGGCAGGGGGGAAGGAAGAGAGAAAAGAAAAGGGGGGGCAGGGAGAGGGAGGAAGGAGGAAGATGGGAGGGGGAGGGGAGAGAGGGAGGGGGGAGGGAGGAAGAGGGAGAGGGGACAGAGAGGAAGAGGAGAGGAGAGAGGGGGAGAAAAAAGGGAGAGAAGGGAGAATAAAAGAAGGGGAAAGAGGGAGGGAGGGAAAGAAGGGGAAGAGAGAAATAAGGAGGGGGGAGAGGAGGAGAAGAAAAGAGGAAAGACAGGGATGGAGGGAAAGAAGGGGAGGGAGAAAGAAAAGGAGGGAGGGAGAAAGAGGGGAGAAGAAGAGGTGAAAGAGAGGGAGGGAGAGAAGGAGAAGGAAGAGAAACAGAGACAAATCATATAGGAATATTTTTTGGACTGTGAGCACAGTGTTATTTCTGGTTGAGCGTTTGCAATGGGCTTTTATGGAGGAGAGTGAGGGTGTGCGTTTGTGCACTTGTGAGCAGGCACATTTCTTCCAACTCAGTTTTCCCTCCTTTTACCCTTTCCCTTTGCCTTGTCTCTCAGTTTCCTCTTCTTAGGTCTGCTTTCCTCCCTCCGATATACACAAATTCCCTGTGGCCTGAAATGCCTTCTGCAAACCTCCTCCATTTCAAAAAAAAACCCCTTCTGTGTTTCTCCCCCTCCATCCTCCACCCTCACTGCTCCTCGCCCCCTCTCTCCCAAGCTCCTGACTTCCTAGTATCCTGTGTTGCTGCCTAACACCACTCTTTTCTCTCTTTCTCCCCCCCATCCCATCTCCCCATTTCAGTGGGGCACTGGTGAACTGGACCCCTCCTTCCTCTGGAACCAATGAGTATTACATGTGAGCAAGAGAGAAGTCAGTGTCCAGGGAGGGCTGACTTGAGAGAGAGAGAGAGAGAGAGAGAGAGAGAGACTGAGAGAGAGAGAGATGGCTTGGCTGCTGCTATTCAAGTGTTATATGTGGAGGAAGAGCCCTTCTCCCTCCTTCCCTGTCTTCTAGAGGACCTGTTATCATTGCAGTAGAGTAGAGAGAACTCTGCATTTGGAGGTGAAGGACCAGAGGTATCTATTATCCCTGAGTTTGCCACTAACTAGCTCTGACTCTTAGTCATGTCATTTGCCATCTACCAGCTTCAGTTTTTTTCTGCCTGGTAAAACAAGGAGTCAGGACTAGATGATCTCAAAGTGTATTTCCAGCTCAAATCTTCTGATCTGATAATTCTTTCTGGCTTTGGGTCTAGAACAAGGGCTGTTCATTCAGCAAGCCCTAACTATATGCTGGGTACTGGGGATAGGGTTACAAAGACAAAAATGAGATCATCCCTGCCCTCAGGAAGTTTATGTTCTGTTGTGTGTTTGGGCAAACCAATAGGTACACATAAAAGTAGATGCC